TTAACTAAGTAATAAGCATTAGAAAAGAGGCTGATCACAGCTACAGAAAGGCTTAATCATACAACTATTTGTTGTGTCACATCCTGGTGGGGAAAGCTCTCAAAGATAAATGGTGCTTGTGCAACTCACCAAAAGTCACCTGGGATGTGGGACAGGGGAAAAGGAACAAGGAGTCCTCTGTAGCACAGAAGAGCTCTCAGTTTTTCACTTCAGTGAAAATTCAGCTCTGAATTTTTCACAAAATATCAGAACTTACCATTGAAGAGAGCAGAAACATCAGATCTTGAAGATGACTCCCTGAAACCTGCCTGTAGCCAGTAGTGTTCCAGTTGGTCTTTTTAAATGGGTTAAATGCTGATTTCCCCTATTGATAGACAGATTATTCTTCCTTTATAATGCCATGCTCCCAAGTTTTCTGTTACACAGGAGCCAGAGCTGTGGTGGCCTGAGGCTCGTTTATGAAACTGGCCCTCACCACCCCCCCAGGCAGCCTGGAGGGGCAGGCAGCAGCTGGACGCCCTCCCTCCCGCCTCCTGGTGATCCCCGAGCCCACTTCTACGGGATGGATGCAGGGAGGTAAGTTACTGAGCGATCAAAATACATACAGAAAAATAATTCATTTTAAATACTACACGGGGGATGGATGTACGTAGCTCGTTAATTGCATCTTCTAAATTAATTTCTGCTTCCATTAGGTCATGGCACATTGAAGTAATTTAAATCAAGGGATTTAACAGCACTTTGAATTAGTTTAATAATGCTAAAGCTTACTGTATATTTTCAAGTATTTAACTCACAGGAGCTACCTTTCTTCACTATTTTATAATATTAGTTTAAAAATCAAATGTATTTCATCACCATTCCTGGTGGAGAACCTTATTTCAATTTTACAATAATAATGAAAATAAACAATACTATTTCATGCTTAAATACAGCTTAAACCTTTAAAGTATTCACCTAAACAAATCATACTGCTTATCACTACAAAATTAGATCCTTTCAGTGCAGTAATACTGCTTTTTTGCTTCCTGCTCTCCCTGACACCAAAGAAGGCTTATGTTTGATTTCTACCACTGAACAGCCCTTCCGTTCCCTGGTATTTCACCACAGAACATAATTTTGGAAGTGGGAGAATCTTGTCTTGAGCTTGAATTATTGCTACCAAAAATCCCATCCTTACAAAATTTCCTCTGTATTCTCAAAATTAGGATGACTAAAAAATAAAGGATGTTTTTTTCAGGTTTCTCTACACATTAGCAGCTCAACTTACCTCAACACTGATGCCTCTGCACAGGATCTGGCAAACAACCTTAACATTCCTTAAGGACACCAAATGTCCTTAAACTCAATTTTCTGAATTGAGAGGAATCCATTCTACTGCTACATTTCCTAAGTAATTTCTTGTAGAAGAATTACATTAGTTGAAGACAAAATTAGTTCTTTCCACGTCAAAGCCTGCATTCACATTGTGACTTTATAAACTCCAGAACTGCTAAATACATGTAAACCTCTTAAATAAATAAATAAATAAAGCACCAAGAAAATTTTTCTTCCAGAATTACTTTGCAGTGTAACAAGAATGGTACTTCTCCTTTGCTGCAATATTATGTTGTGGTACTAATTCAAAAGTTCAAACTGTTTTCATTTCTTTATTACCAGCAGCAATCTAGGAAATGCTGCCATCAATAGTAAATCTACAAGAAGTCGCTCTCCTCTGGTACATTTTGTGCATAGCAATCAGTTCATAACACAATCTTGTGTTGTTTAAAATTCAGTTTATTCTTCAATTACTCTGCTAGCCCGACTCTAATTTATTATATTTTCTGGTACATTTGATTTTGGATATTATGACATCCTGGCTCATGCCATTAGAGAAGAAACATAAAATGGTGAGGATGTCTAGGGACAGCTCAGAGTAAGATAGCAACAGCCTGGAAAATTAACAATATCAGTGTCTCTGTGCTCAGCTAGACCTCTCCTCCATTAGCGCTAAAAAAAAAATTTGGCAGTATTTCTCCAGTATAGACTTGACATCCAGGAATAGCCTCAGAGGCACCATAAAACCTCAGCTAGTGTGGCGGGCAGCTCGGGTGGTTGGGAGGGCGGGTGGCAGCCTCTGAGCCCGCCGGGGCGGCTGAGCTGCAGAAGAAATGAAACACTGGTTCTGCTGCTGCTCGGAGCCCACCAAAGAAACCAGCACGGTTCTAAATGCCACCGACGCTATATACACTGATTTTTAAGTTTTTTCTTAGCCTTGCATGGTGTCGGTCCTAGCTACCATTTCTTTCCGCCAGCACCCAAGGTGAAATGAGAGGCAGCTGCCAGAAGCCTTCTCAGAGCATCTTTCTGAAGAACCCTGGCAGAAGGAAGGGCTTCGCCTCCCCCTCTGGCTTGGTGACCGACCGCATTAACCTTCAGGGCACGCTGCCAGCCTCACCTGCTTACTCAGGCTTTTGCCCGGCAAGGGAAGCTCTCACCGCACTGATTCGTCCTTCGAAGATGCATTCTCTTTTGCTTACTTCTTATTTCCTCCTACCACATTCGGTGTTTGAACTCCTGCATCCAGAGGATGGAGGGGCAGTCCTGATGGGGCAACATCAGTCTCTGATATTGACATCTGACCTTTCTTCCTACAACAGATTCTGGCAACCTCAAACATGAAAAACGCTCATGTGCCCACACAGCTTGCTCTGTCCCAGGAAATTCCACATTGGGTTTTGAAAAAATTTATAATTCCTTTCTTTTGTCTGTTCTTCAGAAAGCCTGAAGGCAGCTTGTCAAAACAATCCCCAAGAGCAAACGCTCTGCAGGGAAACCCAGGCAGCTGGACCCACGAGAGGCTGCCAGCACTGGCAAGGACTTGCAGTGGGGGAAACCTGGCTGGACCCAAATCCTCACTGTTCAGTTTGTCCTCTAGAAGAAAAAACAGGCAGACTTCTTTTCTTCTACAGGACAACAGAGTTTTCTCCTGTCTCTAAGCTGTCTTGTAGCTCAGACAGTATTGCCAGCTCCTTCTAAACCTCATAAACAGAAAGGATTTTACTAATGATGTAGCTGCTGCAACTGTTGCAGTCATTTAGAACTGTCAAAAATTACACATAGCATGTTTAAACATGACGATTCAGGTTGCAAGCTAATTTACAAAATTAAGAAGAGCCACCTTTTAGCTTACCCACTGCCTGTCAGTTTTCCCCACCCCTCCTGAACCTGTGTTGTAACCCAGTTGCTGGTTTCTGTTCAGAAGCTTTTTTCCCCGGCAGCCCAGTCCTGGGCAAAGGATAGGCACAAAAAGGAATAGCATGAGGGATGCTCAAGCACACTTCCAACGTTAGATTGCTTGATTTTGCACTTAAAAAAAACTCACTGAAAGAAAGTTATTGGTACGTGAGAAATACTGAGTACAATTTTAGCCTGAAGTCTGACAGAGTCAGAGCAAATCAGATCAGGCCACACTTCGGTGGGATGGAGAACTGGGATGGAGTGGCTCTTCCCTCCTGTTGGGTGCTATCCCGTGCCCCAGCACAATGAAGTATCACCACCACGATGAGAGAAAATAGCTCCTCTCATTTTGGTGTATGGGTACCAGGAAAACATACGGACCAAGTTCTTTAAAAGCACACGATGGCTTCAGCGCCAACCAATTTTCTCTTCTCAATCCCATATGCACTTAAGTAACTTGTCTATGCTTATGCTGCAAATCAAGGCACATGCTCCGGTGTCTCCCTGAGCCTGCTCTCATTACCCTACGCTTGAAACAAACCACGAATCGAGACCAGAGACTCGATTTCACTTCCCAGCATGCAGAGACTAACCATCAATAAATAATGTCAGTTGGCTTCATTTGGGGCACTGCCTTGGGCACGCAATGGAGACTCGCGGTATGCACCAAGAAAAGGAAGATTTGTATATAAAATGATTTGATAATCTGAAAAAAATCCCTCAGTAAACAAAGGAAGTTTACAGATAATCGTATTAAAGATTAGAGTTGTTTTAAAACAATGCAGAATGTGTTCGAGAACATCTGGGAAGAAAGATGGTAGCTTTAAAAGCAAAACCTTGGGGGAAAAGACTTCTCCCCCTCAAACACAAAACAGTAATTCACTTTATTAAATCCTAATCCTCTTCAATTCACGTTAAGCCAGAGCATTTTTTCCAATAAAGAGTTTTATCAATCTATTTAAATGCAATATTCAAATACAGTTTTAATAGCTGATTAAATGATTGGTTATTCCACCTTTTTTTGATTGCTTCCATTTTATTACAAATTTTAGAAGCAGGCTAATTTTAAGTCAGAAAACTGAGTAAGTTTATTATTAAATAAGGAGAGAACTTAACCTCTAGACTACAGAAAAATATATTCTATCATGATAGCAAAAGCAATCTGATGTCTTTTTATATGCATCTACTCTCATCAACTGGAAAATTAAGAAAATAACTCTTATCTTATAAATGTTATTATTTTTCCATCATTCATTTACTGCTTTCCAAACTCTCGTTGTGGCAATTTATGTGAAAATCCCCCCCAATAAAACCTATAAATTGCTCATGACATTTCCTATAATGATGTTGATAATCATTAATATTTATACAGATCTTCTATTTAAAGAACACATTATTGAAGCTCCTCACTGCTGTAACTGCTGACAGCACCAGAAGAATAAAGTTACTCCACAACTAAGAAGTAAAAGCAAAAACTACAGACTTGGACAATAAAGTTGATAAAAATATATTGGATCAGATTTCTATAACGTCTTTACCTACTGTATTTCAACTCCATTCTTCCATGAAAAAATGTTTAATGTTAGAGCTAAATTTGGAAGGATTTCTAAGTTAAGTTCTGAAAAGAAAGAAAGAGAGCAAAAAAAAAATGTTGAAAGAAAAGAGTAAGTACAGGGTTTGGGTTTTTTTCCTTTTTATACTGTTTTGTTTTATATATAGAAATTAATATATATATATACACATATATGTAAAGTAAATTCAATGACAAGTAGAATGCTAACCAGATTTGTAACTGCAGCAGTTGAGCCCTAGCAAAGAAATCCCCTGAGGGATGTTTTGCTATAACCACATCACCAGAGCTGTGGTGAATTCTGCAACTTCCTCGGGGGCAGAAGTAGGCAGAAGGACTCTCATGTCCACAAAGGCCCCCATGGAGTCACCACTACAGATTCAGTTGCACGGTCAAACTGTAGGCATGGCTAAGCAGGACTCAGCATGTGATCCATCATCTGAAAAATAGCATATACAGGATACCAATTGCTCCAAACGTGTGGGTGCATTGTAGTGAAGCCTTTTCTCTCCTGCATTTCAACTTAACCTGCTTAGCAGGTTTTCAGGTATACACGGCCTCACCTATATCAACACTTTAGAACAAACCATCTTTATCCTCAATGTCAGTGTTGTAGCTAAAGCAGAAATCTTTCCTTTTTGACCCTTTGAAGCAAAAAAAAAAAAAAAAAAAGTTAAAAAAAAAAAAAAGAATCACAGCACAATGTTGACATCACTGTGTGAAATAAGTTGCCTTCACTGAACTTGAGACTTAAAGACAAATGAAACCTGTTGTGAAATCCATATGGTTCTGATCATTTGTAGGAGGTAACATGTTCAACCATACCCATAAGTTCTTCATCAAATATCTTCCACTTCATAACACGCATGACACTTAATTATGAACATTTCCTGGCTTCACAGCTTTGCAAACTTTTCAAAATATGAAAAGCATTACACTTCTACAGCATTTCTCTAGTCAGTGGCACACATCCCTTAGTGCAGAAGAAAGAACTGTAACAGTTTCATTTCACACTCCAGTAACCCAAAATTCTGCATTACCACTCGCTTTAGTGTTAATTTTCCCATACATTTTCTTTTTCTGCTTACATGGCAAGACAGCTCAGGTCAAGTGCACAGACAAGCTGTGCTGCTGATTCTTCTTTTTACCATCACTGAAGCACCTTCACTTTTGCTTCACCAGAAAGTTATTTTCCCTGCAGAAAGCAGGAGAGCCACAGTCAATAGATAAGTCAGCAGCTATCTGTCAAAATGGATTTCAAAGTGGGGAAAAAAAAAAAAAAAAAACCTCCTCACAACTAAAACTGCAAGTATTATTTATGCAGGATCATGCCCATACTGTATAAATACACCACGACAGGTATGTTTGCTGCTGTACATGCAGTGAAGCCTAATTCAGCTCATGTCACTTCCACATATCAGAATGACACATACCATATCAGACAGACATGTATCAGAAGCTATAGAATATAAAGGTATCAGTGCTGAACAAACATGCTGAGCCACCCACTCAGATAAGAAGAATGAAAAGTGGCTATTTTGCCAGATGAAGTAGAAAGATATCTTTTTTTTTCCACTGGTGATTTGAAAAAGAAACACATTTGGTGGTTATCACTGACTTCTTATGAAGCTTGGTAATGTGCACATACACATCTAACTTTCAGACATTCAGATGAAATGCGTAACAGATCCACAAGTACACAAACACATCTGTATTTTTAGCCTAATATAACCTGGATGACATTAGCTTTACTTTTCGCATTTAAAAGAAATTAAAATAGTTAAGAAGTGAACCCAAATTCTGAAGGCATTAAATACTGAACAAGTAGCATTTCATATTGGTTTAGTATAAGGCAGGAAACTGATTTTTAAAGCTTCAATCTTCATTAGAAGCAGCAATGACAGCTTAGTAATAGAGTACTTGTAAAAACAGTCCAGGAGTTGACTTGAACTCATTTTTAATTAACATAAATGCAAGATCTAGCACAGACATGGAACTATTTCACTGATTCGTTGGGTTTGCCCTCTTTAGCCTCTGTCAGTAACAATAAACAGCTGAGAAAACCCCTCTAGAGCAAACAAGACTTCAAGACAGGAAAAAGAGGCCGGACAGAAGGAAATCCTCATTAACCTGCTCTGGAAGAGGCTTGACTGAAAGAGTTTTTTTAAGTTTTAGAAAAAAGTTACTCCAGTTAACAGTCAGGGCAGCCCCAGGGAGTGGCAGGGGTTTGGATGATAGCTATGGTGCATATATACTGTACTAAGGGTACAGTTACAGCTGTATGATCAGAAGAAGGTTTATAGCAAACTCTTTGAACATGACCAGAAAGTTTATACAACACATTAGCATCTATGTGGTCTTGTGATGTACTGATCAATGTGCACTTAGAGTTATTTCAGTCTGGCTACAAATTGTAAACAAGTTGCTTAGAAAAAAAAAATAGGACGAAATGATGATATGGGCATGGGAAGAGATCTAATAAGAAGGTGCACCAAGTAACAATAAGGCATCCTCCTCTGCATGAAGTAGAAACAGCTGTTACTGATTTTTTTTTTTTATAACTTTTAAACACGTAGAAGCAACTTAAACTGGTCCATATTTAAGTATTTGATCTGTTGCAGATATCCAGTGCACTATTCATTAGACATGGAAAGATATTAACATCTCCAGTGTCCTCCTTGAAATATGACTTGCTCTAGATGAAGGCTACTCACCCGTAAGATGGACTTTGAATATACTGTTCTGCAGACTTACTGAGATCAGTGGAAGAACCAGCTGTGGTGAAGTCAAAACACGGTTAGCTTAAGAACCTTGTGGGGGTTGTGGGTTTCCTTGATGTTGTTTTGCTTTTGCTGGTGTAGCAGGTAACGATGTCAATTAGGGGAATGATTTGGATGACACCACTATACCCACAGAAAACCCCAATATAGGCTCTGTTCTACTGCTGTAAGAGCAGTAGATACATTTACTGTTGCTGATACAGCTTGTTTCATCTGGGGACTAACACGAGGTATGCAGGCAAAAGCACATTCATGTTATGACAAAGTAAAATGCATCCCCAAAGAAGGCTCGCTGATACCAGCCCAGCTTTTTTTCAAATGAAAACTGTTCAGAAATGCCAACCAAAACTTGATAGCCAGAAAAATAACGACATGCCTAGATTCTGAAACGTTGCTTTTTGTCAGAAAAAAAAAAAAACTTTGTTTTTTTGGTTGGTCCTTTCAAAGCAAACACAACATTCTTGAGGCAGAACAGGACAACTTAGCAGAAGACAATGTAGCAACCACTGAAAACAGCTTTCCACAAACTGGTTTCAGTATACAAGTCAGCAACATTTTACCTCCGTTAGCTTTGCTTGAATTTCCATTTGCCTCTGTTGTATCAAAAACCTCTGCTGCACTAGCTTTCTTCTTCCTATATATGAACTCAGAAACAAGGATTAACACCCATCTGAAGAACAACGAAAGCCACAGGAAGGTAAGAGCTTAAATCCTCCATCACTAGCATTCTTTGGTCTTTCAGGGACAAAGTTTTGAAAATGACACTGCATTAAGAAAGGGTTGTCTGTGGAGGAGCGCTCAGATTCAAGCAAAAATTTAATGCAAAGGAAAAAAAAAAAAAACTGCATTATGAGTATAACTGCACAAGTCAATAAAAGTGTCAACGTATAGGAACACTGACTTGAACCCAATAATAAACTGTGCTTATTCCCAATTGTTTTCTAACCAGCCAGCCTCCAGGAATGCACGATGCCAGCATCTTGACACCTTCCACCGGGCTTGTGCAACCTCTTCAGAAGAGCTCATGGGAACAGGCAGTGGCAGGGCTATCCCGGGGGCTGGGTGGGGAGCACAGCCTATAGCACACTTCAAAATCACTCCTGCTGCAAAGAACTTACCAACGCAGAAGTTGGTAGCTTGTCACTCACTTTTCCCCACTGTGCTGAATAATGTCTGACTCCACTACAGCACTCCAGGCAACCTGATTGAAAAGCTCCGCTTCGCCTTTCTGCAGCTACTGGGTTCCTCCCTTTGCCCAGACACACGTGGGTTCTCCTTTAATGCACAACACTTTCTGTTGTGCTCTACTGCTAGAAAAAAAATAGTCATAGTTCCTTCTTTTATATTATCTATAACTACTTATTACTACCACTTACAACATTTTAAAACCGTATCAGTTAATATATTGGATATACTTGATCCAATTGCATTTTGCTCTACAAACAAGGGTTCTTCATAAAAATTCTGTACACCCCATCAGACAGTGGTTAAGCATGACAAATCTCTGCAATGAAATATAAACACACATTCTTCTCTGGAATGAAGGAAAAACAGCCAGGCAAAATGCAACATCTGTGACTCCATCCCAAAATAAACCAACTCTGCCCAGGCAGAAATTAACTTCTATGTAATATTGAGCTGACACATTTATAACCTCACAATTCCTTTCTTACCCGATTCAGTCTGTTTTCCTGTGATGACAGCAAGAAAATTCTAGACATTCTTAGCAAAATATCACAACCTCAGAGCAACATCACAACTGGCTTACTTGAAACAAAAATGAGGCTGCAAATATTGAGCTATGTTACCCTAAAGTTCCATTTTTTAAACAAAAACAGTCTCCATTAATTGGGTGGGAAAATTGAAGAAATGCAAACCAATTTAAAATCTTGCATGCTCACAAGTTACCTGATTTTATATCAAACAACTGCATGCTTAAGCTTTTCTTTTCACCATCTAGAGCACAGCTCAGTGTGAAGACTCAGCAAGAGATTCCCCTCCTCTTAAAGCATCCAAATTACTTGTAAAACTAACATCAATTGAAACAAGCATCTATAAGAACGCAAAGGATTGGCATCCAGGCAAATCTGTATCACCAAAAATTCTTTAGAAATAAAATAGATGCTTGTAAGTATTGCAAAGCACATTGCAAGGATAAAGTCAGCTCAAGTACAGCACTGCTACCCTCCTTCACGTAGCAGCAGGGCTGGGAGCGTCTCCGTATATGTCAGTAGACAAACCAGTCCCCAGTTCCAAAGCAGAAGTCAGATACCTACATTATCTCACGCAGAATACAGAACAATCTGTATGAAAACACATGACAGGTTTATCCCATGAACTTTGCAAACATAAATCCTGACCCTGAAAACATTTACATGCAGGCTTAACATTAAGGCTAAGAACAGACCCACTAATTCCAAAAGGAATACTTGGGTGTTTAAAATTAAACATATGTAAGCACAAACATCTACAGAACTGAGGCCAGAAAACCCCAAAAGCACACACCACAATATTGTTATTTTTAGACATTATGACCCAACAATTACATAATTTAATACTGATATTTAAAAGAATTTTCATCTTTGAAAGGCACTACAATTTCTAAACAAACTCCACTGATCTGATAAAGCAATTAAGCAGCATGCAGTTCAATGATGTCACATTAAAATTTCTTCTGCAAACCAAATCAACAAAGAATTTTCAAGACAAGCCACTGCTGTATCAATTAGGCAACCAGTTTCTTCTGGTGCCTTTTACACCAGGGAGCATTTTAACACTGAATGAATGCTGTTTTCTTATTAGTTGGAGCTCCTAATGTCTAATAGCTCTTTAAACAAGCAGCTAATCTGCTTGCTGATCTGAGACAGTAATTTATATTAATTCAGTGTCTAATACACATTATATCTTCACAGATTTCACTTTGATATTGTTGGTATCATTTCTTCACAGTTGCTTTTAACTATATTAAGACATTTTTTAAAACCACAGAAAAACTGAATAAAAAAAAGAGGGAGATATTTTTAAGTATTCCCAAGTAGACAATTTTAACTAGTAGCTAACAAACTTCTGCTGTTTTTTAGTGATACAGGCCCTTGAATATATATCAAGATTGTCAGCCTGTTCAGTGCAGGTAAAGCCTTACAAAAAAAACAAAGCTTCATCAAGGTCATCAGTGCTTCCATGAGAGCAGACTCCAAACAAATGCCAAAGCTTGCAGTGTTGAAGCCAACATTTTTGTAATTACGCATAACAGGTTCCAGTAAGCTTATTTTTTAACCTAACCTGTCTCAAGAGAACAGTACTTTTCCACCCAATCACCAGCTTACATTCCTCTTGCAAAGTTTCATCCCTAAACTGTAGCTTTTTTTTTTTTTTCTCTCTAAATAGAAGATCTGAGTCCTGTGTTAGGAAATCACGCTGTGTTTGAAAATCCTCAACCTGAGTCCAAAGCTCAGGGCTCTCTCTTGGTAGAGTTATGGGTCAGTACAGTTAGAAATTCAGTACTGAAAACTCTTTGTAAAATTATGTCTTTTTTTTTTTTTTCAATATCCAGAGATTTTAGAATTGTAATAATACAAGCACTTTAAAACATAACATTACACACCATTTTTAATTTAAAAAAAAAAAAAATCTAATTTGGCACAATGGTGTTCTTTGTAGCCTGCTGAATTTGGATATAATCATTTTATATTGCACTGTATTCAGGAAAGAGGATTCCTCCTTCAGTGAGCTGATTGTTGGAAATGAGAAAGAGTAAATGATAAGGGACCTTATTAAGTCTTATGGTTCTAGCAAGTACACTGACATACCTTATTTCCATTTTGAGGAAATTTGTTTTAATAAAGTCAGGGCAGCATATGGTACTAACATGTTTATTTTGCAAGTGGTAGGGACAGTAACCAAAACCATCTGATGTTTCTTCCTAAGCCTTCTTGATCTGCTGCTAGATTGCAGCTTAGAGTAAAGCATTGTGAAGCCAAAAGAAATTGGGTAGAGGAATAAAAAAAATCAGTACTTCAGAGTGTTTATTTAATGAGAGCCGAGCTCAGAAGAGTTTCTCTTTTGAACATAAGCTCGAAAGCATTTATGATTTGAAATGTATTTCTAGAGATTGTTAAACGTACCCCAAAGTTAATCCCTAACAGACATTTTTTACTTTGCAGAGACAAAGACAAACCCTCGATATCATGTAATTAAAAAAGGAATTAAACAAAGCTCAGAAGTACTTAGTAGTGGATTTCTACAGAAGTAAACAAACAGCACCATGCAGTAGGAACACAGTAAGAAAAGTCACAAGGGACTATCAGATTTGTCACTACCACAGCTCCTGCAATTGTTCTCTCAATTAAATGACCGAGTACTCACATTCTGCCAAGAGCAATGATAATTTTGAAGTATGCCTTGTCAAAGTTTAAAAGAGATGAGGTTTTAGGTTTTTAAACCACATTTTCAGTGGTAAGAGCAAACAAAAGGGGGGGGGGGGGGGGGTGGGGGGAGAAATGTAGGTGTTGGAACAGAGAGCCTAGTTCAGAGCACCGAGGGCTAGAGTTAACATTTTGAAATAGCTGCCAACTATAGAAGCTTCAGAGACATTTTACACACAGCCCCCGAGTTGCTCTGGCGCAGCTGTAAAACGCATAACCTGAAACCAGCTCCTGCAGCAGGGGTTCGCCCGCAGCTGTTCATCTGCCTCCCCCGCACGCAGGAATTTGACTCCTTTTCAGGCAGCAGCTTCTTCACCAGAGCGGCCCAGGTGTATTTAGGGACCCTTGGGGGCAGGTCCCCGCCAGCCGAGCCCACCAGCTCAGCTTCGCGGGGCCGCGCCGGGGGTGCGGGCGCAGCCCCCGCCCACCCCCGGCGGGCAGAGACCCGCCTCGCGGCGGCACCGGCTCCCCGGCCGAGGCCGGGAGGAAGCCCCGCTCCCCCCCCCCGGGCGAGGGGAGGGCCGGACCGCGCCGCTCCCACTGGGGCTCCCGGCTCCTCTCCCCGTACTTGTTGCCTCGTCCAACCCGGCGCCCCCGCGGGGAGTCCCCGACGCCGAAGCGGGGCGGGGAGTTTGGGGGGTGGGGGGGGGGACCGCGGCCGCCGCCCTGCCCGGCGGCCCTCCCGCCGGCTGAGGGGAGGCTGAGCCACCCGGCGCCGCGGCGGGGCAGGGAAGTTACTCACCGGCTCCGCGCCGCGCTCTCCTCAGCCGCCGCCGCGCCGGCTGCGCCCGCCCGCTCCGCCCGGCGGGAGGGAAACTCCGGGCAGCACTTAGCGGGGCGCCGGGCCGGGCCGGTGCTTTGCCCCCACCCCGCCCCCCCGCCCCGGGCAGCGGCGCGGCCCAAGTGACAGCCGCGCTCCGCCACTCCGGCGGCAGCCCGGGGCGCGGGGCCGGGCGGCGGGGCGCGCCGCAGCCTATGGGAGCGGGGCCGGGGCGGGCCGCGGCGGAGCCCCGGGCCGGGGTGTCCCCGCCACTCGCCTGATCGCAGCGCGGAACCGGGGGGCAGCGGGCGGGGCCGGAGCCGGAGCGGAGGAGGGGCCGGCCGGGGAGCTGCCCCGCACGGCCCCCAGCTCTGCCCTACCCGGAGGCCCGGTCCCCGCCCGCCCGAGCCCTGCGGCCGTGCTAGGGGACAAGCCTCGGGAAGCTCCGGCGCTGACGGGAGGCGGCAACCCTGCTGCCGCCCAACGCGCTCCGCCACGGGGCGAGCGAGCAGCGACCGCCCCCCGCCTCCTCCTCCTCCTCCTCCTCCTTCCCCCGGCGCGGAGCCCTCAGCGCTCCCGCCGCCGGGGCGGAGGTTTACGGTGGGTCCCGCCGGCATGCGGCGGGGCGGGCAGGAGCCCACCGGGCCGGCTGCCGCCCCCCACTCTCTTTTTTTTTTTGGGGGGGGGGGGGGGGGTGCCAGGGGGCCGGTAGCCGCAGGTGCCCGGCGGGGTGTGGCGGCGGCGGCTCGGCTCGCACCGCCCCGGCTCCTCCCCGCCGGGGTCCTCGCCGTTCTCTGTGCCTGCCCCCCCGCCGCTCCGCTCCGCCCTGAGCCGGGCCGTGAGCGGGGCATGGCGCCGGCCTTCGCCTGAGGAGCCGGGCCGCGGGGAGAGCGGGAAGAACGGGCGCCGTCGCCCGCCCTCACCGCGTCGCCATGGAGGAGGACCCGGAGCTGGAGAGGTGAGGGGCGGGGGGCGCGGCTGAGCGGCCCCGGAGCTGCCGGCCTTGGCGGGGCCTGCCCGCCGAACGGGGCCCGGGCAGCGTTGGTGCGGGGCCGCCCGGGACGGGTCCCCGGGGGCCCAGCGCTGCGTGTCGGTGTGCGGCGGGGCGGGGCGGCGGGCTGTGGGACGGCTCCTCCCGGCGCCGGGCCTCGGCTCTCGGGGCGGGAGGCGGAGGAGAGGAGAGCGCTGAGCCCGGCCCGGCTGAGCCCGGCCCGGCTGAGCCCGGCCCCAGGGCTGCGCAGCCCGCGGCTGGCTGGTGCTCTGGCCCTGGGACAAAACTTCGGAGCCCTCGCTGAGGGAGTCGCAATAGAAAATATATCGAATCTTCCTACGTGATGGGGAAAAACAGTACTTAAAAAAAAAAAAAAATCAACTATTCTTGTGGTGCGTGCTGGTACCATTTAGGAAGAGGATTGAGAAGTGGCTCATCTCTCATCGGTTGTAATTTGGTAATTAGGTGTACTTGGTAAAATTAAACAAATGAATAAACTTCTGTTCTTACACATTTCAAATTTCCGTGTCGGAAATGTGCCAGTTGACTAATTGTTAAAATTGCCCTGTGCCTTCTGTGGAATAATATAAATGCTTGTCAATTATTTTGTCAAAAAATAAAATTGCTTTCTACTTCGCATTTCGTTGGGATGAGAGGATTCAACTCGTTGTGCGTGCTGAGTTACAGTGTTCTCAAGCAAACATTGAGGAATAAAATGAAGATTTCTGTTTTTGGATACTCAGTCACAGTAGGCCTCTTACTTTGGCTTTAGGAATAGACTTTAGGTGTTTATGTCACAAATTTTGGGGGTGTTTGTATTTATTGGATTTTTTTTTTTTTGCAAGCTTGTTTGTGAGTAACTGCACTTTTCTTAGGGATGTTTTTTTTTAAAAAAAAACATTACAGTGAAGTGATGAGCAGAAGCTTTCTGACCTGTTCTTGTGGTTCACCCCCTTTTAAGAAACCATGTCTGAAAGTGCTTATAAAAAATAACTTGTTTAAACAACTTGTTTCTGCTTCTGGCTGGCAAGTATTTTAAATGAGACAAGAGCAATAGCACTGTGGTGGTGGAAGGGCTAGAGAGCATAATGCTTTCTAAGAGGCCTTTAATTCTTGGTAAGCTACTTCTGCTCTCAGATCATCAGTTTAATAATTAAAGCTTCTTTCTGTATATGGATGAATGTTCATTTAACAAGTGCCATTCCAAACTTAAACCTTTTTCATTCATAGCAAATTGAAACCTGTTCTTCCATAGTGTCTGTTTTCTGGCTGCCATTGCCGTGCTGGGGACTCGGGGTCGTCTGGGCGATTCAGGGCATAGCCGCTCGCTCACTGGCTACAGCCAACTCCTCCACAGTCTCCTCTTGATGCTCTCCATCCCAGGAACCAGATTCAAGGTTTTATCCTGCCTCATAGCTTCAATGTGAGTTGGGATTTGCTCTTCCCTTTCTGTGGCAGCATGGTTGATAACGACAGTGAAGCTCAGTATTACTCATTGAGTGGTACACAGTAGGGTTTAGCTGTCTGCTGTCTTCAGTCCATGTTACCATTCACCTCCGTATGTGTTGAATAATCTCCGAACACATTATAAGCACAATATAGTGTGCTTGATGATTATCACTTTCTGTCCTGGATCCACCTATCATTAGTTATTTTTCATAACAACTTGTTTTGCTAGTAGCACCTTGAATTCAGTTCATGCTAGATGCGTTTAGATGTCACACTTGGGTATTTCCTACTCTAAATATACTTCCCGGTACAGTCTTCAGGAGTCTAATACAGAGCTTTCTTTTAACCTTTGGTTTACAGACATTATTCCTTAGTTTTATGTTGAATGACCTGTTGATTGTACTCTCCTGTGAGTAGTACAGCGATGGTAGTTAAGGTTTATAATTTTAGTCTCTTTCTAATACGGCTTTAGCATACAGAAAATGTAATTTCTGTTCTGTAGCCACAGTGTTAACTATTTCAGGTAGATTTTTAGTGTTTAAAATTGGATGTATTTGGAATATTTTCAGTAGTCTATCTCTGAATTCAGACTCTTGCAATGCACAAGTCTTAAATAACAGCTTAAGATTTTTGTATGTGTTGTTTTTACTTACTTCACCATGGGGAGAAAAGAAGTGCTGCAACTATTTTTGTGCATATTTTTTCAAGTCTGAAGCGAATTTTGTGTCCCAAAATTCCAAACACTGGTTTGTTAAGATGAGTTATCCTGGGGTTTTTTATTATCTAAGAAGAGGTCTCTTCATCTTGCATGTACTGTTATATCCTTACTGCCTTGTTTTCCTACTATTATTTTTCAGTTTTACTGTGTCTGACTCTCACTTGACCTTGTGTTTGATGTTTTCCTCACTTTAATAGGAAGTGATAGTTCCTACCAAAGCTGAATACTAACTTGCAAGTTACCATGTGACTGTTATGTGCTCTGGATTTTAAAAGCCTAAAAACTGTAAATATCACAGATGTGTAAAATAGTAATATTTGCTACATTCTGTTGAGTTATTTTCTCTGCTCCATCTCACCCGGTTACCTTTGTTGGAAGTATGAACTGACGTTTTTTCATGTGAACTTGCTGGTGCATCACTGAAGACCCAGAGTCTTCAGATACAGCGTGATTCTGAGAAAATTCTACGCTAAATTCTATTACCATATAATTAACGGTATTGTGAAGATATGGCCCAAGAATGACTTTAAAAAAAAAAAAAAAAAAGTTACAAACCAGCTACTGGGAACTGTTTAGTTTGTTTCCCCTGCAAGCACCTGTTTGTGGTTTTCCTAGTTTATTTCAACTAAATATCCTTTGGGATAATACAGAGATCACCATTTTCATCCCTACCTACAAAAAAAAAAAAAAAAAAAAAAAAATCTTTCTTCCCCCTCTTCTTCCTGTATTGTCCTCATGGTTGTTCTGTGTGTGTGAAGCACAGAAAATAGGTAATTTCTCTGCAAATATAAAGGAAATGGCTTTGTTATACTGTGTGTCCAAATCCTTCTGTAATCTGTTCTGTCTTTCAACAGCGATAAATATTTCACAACCTTGGATACCATACCTTATGCAAAGTGCCTATCAAGCTTGTTTGGAGCATCATTTACTTGGAATTAAGTGTTTCCTAAGGAGATGCTGCTCTGAGTCACAGGGAATGCTACAGTTCTGTAACAAGAGACTTGTAGTTGAGTTGAGAATCAACAGTCTTAATATTTTTGCTTGACAGTCATCCCAAATACACTTTTTAACAAGTAAGCTTTGTGCCTTGGAGGAATGAATCGTTAGTTCTTACTATTGTTTTTAACAGTTAAAATTGAAGTGTCAGGATTCAGTGTGCCATTCTTTCCCATATTCATGGCAAAAAAGTGGTCTGCAAGCTAAAACCGGTGTTTGAAATGGAGTGGTATGTTCACTACTCAAGCGGATGAGAATGTCAGCAGAGAAATGTGCTGCAAATAGCACTCATGGGACTGACAGAGTATTTAAATAGGTACAAAACCTGATCGACAAAGAATGAGAGCATTCACGTACCCGATGTGGAGTGTCTTTGCCTTTGAACAAATGTTAGAAAGTTTGTGGCATATTTGTGCCATTTTTTTCATTCTTGCTCTTAATGCTGTGGTTTAGGCTTTATTCTTGGCATTCCTTTTCACCAGTTTTCTTATTAAGTGTGAGCAGATAGGACAAGCCAGCTCACAGGAGTTAATTATAAATAACACTGGCTTTCATTACCATTCCTTTATTGTAGAAGGCAGTATCTTCAGTCCTTTACTTGACTGAAGGTTTTGATATTAATTATTCAGATGTAATCAGAATACCAGCATCCACTTCTATTTCCAGTCCCATGCATGGTTAAAAATTAGTTGTATAGTCAGCATTAAACTACTTTGAGAAAACTGGCTTTAAAACCTGCTAAATTTTCTCCTGGGCTTGCAGCTTGCTGTCAGGACCTAGAGTGCCTCAGGAGGTAGGTTTGGTAGATTTAAGTGTGATTTTTTTTTTGGAGGGGGGGATCACAGTAGCTGAGCAGCCTGGCCTTTGAGCTTGAAATGGGAGTGGTATAGACTGCAGGCGGTTATTAATGCTGTGAAGGTCTTTCACAAAGGTGTGTTTGATAAAGATGTCCTTTCTCTGATTCTAGGAGATGTTGAATATGAACGCTGCCTTCCTCCTCCAGGTCTGTTGCACTTCTGTAGCTGATTGTGTGCTGTGAAGCAATTCCAGCAGATGTATTTTCATTAAGAGTTTTCATCAGGATCTTTAATGAGATGATGGCATGGGTGGAGATGGCAGAGGTGGTTGTTGTTAGGTTATGCGCTGAGAACTCCCGGGCACACCCACAGAGGACTAAAGAGAGACTGTGGTGGATGGGGGGAGCGAAAACTGCCCAGCTCTGGCTTCTCCCAGGCTGATCCCCAGAGCCAGCAGCCCATCAGTCCATCTCCACGAGCCCAGGGGTGCACGGTGCCAGGGGGGAACCCACAGTAAGGATTCAGGAATTCACATCTCTGGGCCTCTCCCAGGGCTGGTCCCAGGAGAAAGCCTCGGCCTCCAGGCGTGAATCAAGATGGGTCAATGCTGGAGCACCTTTGGGACTGAAGAGTGTTGCTGCCTAGAGGC